TGCTGCTGCTGCTGCCAGTCAGGCAGCCACTGCATCACTAATATAATATTTTTGAGGCGGCGAGGGGCAGAAGAGAAGATCCATTCTCCCCTGTAGTAGTTGCTGCTGAGCAGCAGATAGGGGGGGAAGGGTAAGCCTGCAGCAGCAGCAGCAGAGACAGAGCCAGTACCTGCAACAGCAGCAGCAGCAGCAGCAACAGCTGCAGCTGCTGCTGTTGCTGCTGCACCTGAACCTTTCTGCTGCTGCTGCATCCTCGCTAGCTTCTGCTGCAGAGCAGAAGCAACAGAAAAAGAAGAAGATAAATAAAATCCTTGTGTCTCCTCCTGCGGGGGAAGAGACAGAGACGCCAGCAGCCACGGCCGGGCTGTCTCCCCAGCTCGTGTGTAGTTTAGAGCTGCTGCTTCTTCTGTCTCCTTTACTATCTCCTCTTGCTTCTCCTGTTCTATCTCCTGCTGCTGCTCCTGCAGCAGCAGCAACAGCAGCAGCAGCAACAGCAGCAACACCAAATGACACAGTGCTCAGCAGTTTAATACAACCAGCACCAACAGCAGCAACAGCAGCAACAGCAGCAGCAGCAACAGCAGCAACAGCTGCTGCAGCAACAAAACGGTCACGCGTAACACTAGCCCATATTTCAGCAGCTGCAGCAACAGCAGCACCTGCAGCAGCAGCAGCAGCAGCAGCAGCAGCAGCAGCAGCAGCAGCAGCAGTTTACTTGTTCTTCTTCTTGCTGCTGCTCCTCCTCGCCCTCTATCTCTGCTTCTAGGCCTTCAAGCCTGAGAGCGTCTCCTTCTGTGTCTCTGCTGCTGCCTGTTGCTGCCTGTCTCCTTGCTGCTGCTTCTTCTGTCTCTAACTCCGAAATAATTTTATCTATAAGTTCTCTCGGGCTCAGCATGTGTCCCCCCCCTGCTGCTGCTGCTGCTGCTGCTCCTGCTGCTGCTGCTGCTGCTGCTGGTGGTGGTGGTGGTGGTGGTTCTGCTGCTGCTGTCTCTGCAGCCTGCAGCAGCTCCTCGTGCTGCAGTGCCTGCTGTCTTAGCCGTAGACTAAGAGGCAGAGACAAGGGGACAGTGGAGGAGACAGAGAAGTCTAGGGGTTCTAGGAAGACAGCGAGAGCTTGTTGGGTGAGAGGAGACACCTGGTCTGTGCCTAGAGATGCATGCGTTTGTTTTAATATATTTAGTGCTGCGCTCCTCCATACGTTGCTGCTGCTCTGTATATACAGCAGCCGCTGCTGCAGGCACTCTTGTCTTATCTGTCTAGATACTAGCCAGCAACATATCTCTCCTAATACAGAACAACCAGGAGACAAATGCTGCTGCTGCTGCTGCTGCTCCTGCTGCTGCTGCTCATACTCCTGCTGCTCCTGCTCATACTCCTGCTGCTGCTGCTGCTGATACTGATACTGCTGCTGCTGCTGCTGCTGCTGGTGCTGCTGCTGCTGCTGCTGCTGTTGCTGCTGCTGCTGCTGCTGCTGCTGCTCATGGTGATAGAAGAGACTGGTAGCTGCTGGGTGTAGAGCACCAACAAGCCTGGCGTGTTTATCTATGAGGGCTGCAACGCCCCTGGGTATTAGGTAGTGGAGACGCTGTCCCCGCCCCAGCCCCCGCATGCGAAAGGCCCCCTGAGCTATATCTCTGAACGTGCTGTCTTTTCCTAGTGTTATAAACGCACTGCTGTCGGCTGCTTGACGGATGTCCTGTGGAGACACACACAGACATAGATACATAGATAGATAGAATATATTTTATTTTGTTTTATTGAGAGAGAGAGAGAGAGAGAGAGAGAGAGAGAGAAGAGGGAGAGAGAGAGAAAAAAAATTAAGAAAATAGGAGAGAAAGAGAGAGAGAGAGAAAGGAGATAGAATAAGAGATATGTGTTGTATATGCACGGGTTTATGTTGCCTCAAGAATATAAAAAGGAGACAAAAAGGAGACAAAAAAGGAGACAAAAAAGGGGACAAAGGACATATATTATATTATATATAAATCAGAGAGACAGAGAAACTGAGAGAGAAAGAGAGAGAAACAGAGAAAGAAACAGAGAAAAAGGAGACAGAATATATATATATATATATACATCTATCTATATATATACATATACATATATATATATATATAC